CGATCCCAGGTCTCCAGGATCGCGCCCTGAGCCAAAGGCAGGCGCTAAACTGCTGCGCCACCCAGGGATCCCGTGCTTGGACTTTTTTGAGAGACGTCCTAAATAGTGACCCCTCAGATAGGAAATTGAGGAAACACCCAAATGTTTGTTCGCCCAAGGCTCATGAAGGTAAGAAAAGGTAGCCCTAGAAAGACAGCCCCTTTTGTATACACTGCTCCTCTACACTATACAGTAGTACCCAATCATTTTCCTGAAATCTGATTAGTGGTCTCCCTTCTTGAGTGAGAGGGACAGAAAATGGGGCCGTGAGATTAAGAAATGTCTTTCACTAGAGGCCTTCCAAGCTCCCCACTGTTTGCAAACCTATTTTCATCTCTAATCAAAGTATACAAATTATAGCAAAGTTTACATTGATATAATCAAAGGTCCAGGTTCTACTTGTCAGTGAATTTTACATAATGTAAAAATACTTCCTTTCTCATCTTGCCAAAGTTATAGAACCAATTCTGTTTCTATGTAAAAACAAAACACAAAAACAAACAGTTTGTTCTTTGAATTATTAGGTGCTGATGCTTTCTTTTAACTGAGTATTCACCTCTCTCTCTTTTCCTGCCAGTGTTAGATATTAGCCACGTTAAAGACTTATTAGCCCACTCCTTGGATCTCTGAACTCCTGCAGTGTTTAGTGATACATCAAAGAAAATTCTCAGGGAGGCACCTGGGTGGCTTGGTTGGATTAGCATCCAACTCTTGGTTTTGGCTGGGGTTGTGATCTCAGGGTCATGGGGTTGAGCCCTACATTGGGCTCTGTGCTCCATGCAGTCTTCTTGAGAGTCTTTCCCTCTCCCTCTGCTCCCCCTCCTTCCCCTACTAATTTTAAAAATCTTTTAAAAAGAAAAGAAAATGCTCAGTATGGCAGCATGACTATCTTTGTAACTGTAGTTTACCTTTCTTAGATTGGGCTAGCTCAATGCTGGAATTTCATCCTTGTTCCACGTGCTGGCTCCTCTTCATTCCAAGGCTTCTTAAAAAAAAACCATTTTGTTTTCCCTTGAACATTTAAAAATCCAACTCAACAGAAGAATCAGATTCAGAGTATACTAACAAAATGCAATTTGTTTCATAGGATAATCCCACAAAAACCACTTCAACCCTACGAGGCAATTTCTACATCACTGGGGATCGGGGCTATATGGATGAAGATGGCTATTTCTGGTTTGTTGCAAGATCAGATGATATCATATTATCCTCTGGGTAATTTTTCATCTGCACATGTCTTATGTTAATTGATCATTGGTGTTCTGGAATGAACCTGCTGCTCACCTTTATAAATTGTTGGCATATGTTTTATTTTCCAGTTACAGAATTGGACCATTTGAGGTAGAAAGTGCCCTCAATGAACATCCTGCAGTTGCAGAGGCAGCTGTTGTCAGCAGCCCAGACCCCATCAGGGGAGAGGTAAGAAAAAAAAAAAGAAAGGATTCATTTCTACTTTATAATTTGTTGGCAGTCTAACACATACTTTTCAACAGTTCATTGAAACAGAATTACCCAAATGTTTCACTAACTATGCAAGTCAGATAGTCATTAGTAAATATGCTAATCATAAAGAACTGCCAGGAATAAGACTGAAAATATAAATATAAGGAATTTGAATCTTTCCCATAGAGGGATGATATGAATGTCAACAACCCCCAGCTTATAGTAGGATACGATGCTAGAGGTCAGCTAAATAGGATGAAGTTATTACCCAGCTCTGGAAAACAACATGATCCCTAGTATAGCTGAGGAGGATAGGCCAGCATCAAATACCGGGGGTGGCAGGAAGGTCAGAGGTAGGAACTGAGGCAACTAGAAGTAGGCTGGGTAGGAAGACAAGTAGAAGATTCAGAAAATAACCTGTGAATAAGGCAGGGGTCCTAAAAGCTCTTTTTTTTTTTTTTTTTTTTAAGCTTTATGCCTTAAACTCATGATCCTGAAATCAAGTCAAGTCACATGTGTTCCTGAAAGCTCAATCGTAGTGGGGGTGATCAGATGGTGGTTTGGGTTTAAAGGTTCCATGCTATTCTGCAGGCCCCCTTTGCCAGGCAGGGCCTCCAAAATTCCATATAAAAGAGAACAGGGAAGTGATTCTGTGATTATTGAAGTTTATCCTTTCACTCCAAATTCCACCCGTAGGATCACAAAGCTCTTTGGAATCTGAAGGTCATAAGGCACTACTGGACTTAGGCAATGATGGAAATGTTCTATATCTGCACCATCTGATACAATATACGTGGCTATAAAGCACGAGATGTGGCTGACGTGACTGAGAAAATTTTTATTTCATTTTAATTAATTTAAATAGTATCGTGTGGTTACTGGCTACCATATTAAATAGCCACCATTGTAGTCTCTTCTCATAAAAATGCAAAATTTTGCACAGAATTTCAGAGAAACTTTGAAGCTGACTTAAGGATTTTGGTTAAGAAAAAATTTTGTGGGCAGCCCCAGTGGCTCAGCGGTTTAGCGCCGCCTTCAGCCTGGGGTGTGATCCTGGAGACCCGGGATCAAGTCCCATGTCAGGACTGCATGGAGCCTGCTTCTCTCTCTGCCTGTGTCTCTGCCTCTCTCTCTCTCTGTGCCTCTCATGAATAAATAAATAAAATCTTGAAAAGAAAAAAAAGAAAAAAATTTTGTACTTCTAACAGTACTACAACTAATACCTAGTAATTCTGATGACTTAGTATATTCCAGGTATTGTAAGCCCTACACAGGACCTGTATATGTTAACCTATTTAGTTCTTACCACTTTTTTTGGAGAAGAACAGAAACAGAGGTATCCTAACTTCCCCAAGATTACACAACAAAGTGTGATTTGAACCCAGGCCATCTGATATTAGAGTTCATGCTCTTAATCATGTTAGGGTGCTCCTTATTAATTTATTATCTTTTGTAATGGTTTACAAAGATTTTTATAGGGGCACTTGGGTGGCTCAGTCAATTGAGCATCTGATTCTTGATTTTGGCATAGATCATGATCTCAGGGTCATGAGATTGAGCTGTGTACAGCTCCGCACTCAGGGTTAAGTATGAGATTCTTTCCCTCCCTCTCTCTTTGCCCTTCTCCCTACTGCTGTGTGGGTTCTCTTTAAAATAAAAAAATCTTGGAAAAAAGAAAAAAACTTTTGTAAAGATATAATAGACCCTACCCAAGGTGTAGAAGTCATCAATATGCAAAACAGTAATTATAAACATTAGTTCTTAAAATAATCTGGCTCTGAATGATTCACTTGTATCAAGGTTAAATTTTTTTAATTCATAAAAATGTTAATAAAGCAAAAGAGCCAGTATAAATACAAAAACATTTTCTTAAGTATCAAAAAATGAATAGGATAAAATTATATATAGGTAGCCCAAAGACTCTGGGCAGGGCAGGATTTTCCAAAACTTTTTTAAGATTTTACTTATTTATTCATGAGAGACACAGAAAGAGGCAGAGACATAGGCAGAGGGAGAAGCAGGCTCCCTGCAGGGTGCCGGATGTGGGACTCGATTCCGGAACCTGGGATCATGCCCTGAGCCGAAGACAGACATTCAACCTCTGAGCCACCCAGGCGTCCCTTTCCAAAACATTTCAAGGAAGAATGAATTTTGGAAACGGGCTTTGTGAGTATAAACTGATGAAGTCTTCCCTGTTTTCTGCCAATTAGAGAGCAAGGGTTATCACCACTTTCTATTCTTTTTCCTCAGGGTTAGGTAAATTTGTCAGAGTAATAGCAAAGTGGCTGTTGGAATCTTCACAGCCTTTTACCAACACAAGTATCTCTGAAATGAAGAGTGGACAGTCTCAATGAACTGTCCATTCAACAAGGATATAGCAAACGCGGTATGAATACTCTTTATAAGGGCCACACTGAGCCTAGAAACTAGGCTAGATCAGGCTTAGATGTTACCCAAGAGGCTATGCTTAGTGCACTGTTGAGTTTCTGAAAGGATTTTTTTTTTTCTAAAAGGAAATTTTCTTGAGGGAGATAAAAGATGAGGCAAGAAGTCAAAGCAAAGACAGCTCAGAAACAGAAAAAGGTCAGAAAGCAGAGTTCAAGATGTAGTTAGATGAGCAAATTCCAGTTCATTAAGATCATTAACAAAGCAGGGGTCCCAGAAACTGTCTTGTACTACAGAATACGAAGTATGGAACTCAACTGCCTGGCTTAAGAGCACAGAGCTAGAATCAAACCCTATGAAAACTTCTGGCCCATCCTATCAAGCACTTAAGATTCCTGGTTAGAGAAAGTAATCAAGACACACTAAAACATAAAAATACACAACTCATCCTCCTGGTGTTTCAAATATTTTTTAGGTAGTAAAAGCTTTTATTGTTTTGACCCCTGATTATAAGTCATGTGATCAAGAACAACTGAAAAAGGAGATTCAGGAGCATGTAAAAAAAACTACAGCACCTTACAAATACCCCAGAAAGGTAGGTATTCTAATTATGATGACAATATGCTTACTGTTCTGAAAAATTTCAGCTGTTTATTATTTTTATTTTAATGAACATTCGCCTCAAACACGCTACACCAAATATGCTAAATGAACTAATGACGTGGATAACAATCAGAATCTTTGAGATTAAAATGAAACTCTTGACATAATTTGCTGGGTCATTTGGCTTACTGGATTTCTAATAAATACTAAATATCAAGCAAAATCTCAACAATACCCCTGTCCCTGCGAGGTTGTTACCAAAACCCACCCAGATTGGTGTCCTAATTCTTTCATTTAGAGATAATAAAACTGCTATATTACTGACTTGGTCTAAAGATGAAAACTTCTGGGCTAATTTTTTCCCCTTGATACCAACAGGTAGAATTTATTCAAGAGCTGCCAAAGACTATCAGTGCGAAGATAAAGAGAAATGAACTGAGGAAGAAAGAATGGGAAACAATTTAAATCCATTCTATTATTTATCACAGTATCTATAAAACAAAGACAAACCACAGTGTTATGGAGAGGTGATTAAAATGTGATAATATACTTATAAATTGTTGATTTAAAATATCTCATAAAAAAATAAAATATCTTATGATTGGGGCACCTGACTGGCTCAGTCAGTAGAGCATGTGAATCGATCTCAGGGTTGTAAGCTTAAGCCCCACATTCAGTGTAGAGATTAGTTAAAAAGTTAAATCTTTAAAAAAAATAAAATATCTTATGGTTATAACATCAGAGGGTAAATTTTGAAATAAAATATTCAGTAAATTCCTCTGTATTAGTGTCAATGTTCTCATGATTTTGATATGAAAAGAATACCATCAATTGCTGAGAAATTTTTAGACATATAGTATCTGAACCAAACTGCCGACCTGTTGGTTTTCAAATTCTAGTTAAATAATATTTCTGATGTTAATATACAAATCAGAACAAATCTTCAAGTTTTGAAATATAACTAAACAACTTATTATTAGGAAAACAAAAATATTGGTTAGAAGATTATCATAATTCTTAAAGTATAAGTATCTACCTGAAAATAGGCTAGCGATTTTTATTAGTCATATTTTTATTGAAATATCTTAAAATATTTCAAATTTATTCCAAGGTCTAAGTATAAAAGAAGGACATCATATACTACCATTGCTTATATCCAATCTAATAAGTGCAGTGTACAAGATATTTAATTTGTGGTTCTTTGGGGCGGCTGGGTGGCTCAGTTGGTTAAGTGTCTACCTTCAGCTGGAGTCATGGTCTCAGGGTCCTGGGATCAAGTTCTCAAGTCAGACTCCCTGCTCAGTGGGGAGTCTGCTTCTCCTTCTCCCTCTGTCTCCTCCCCCCTGTTCATGCTCTCTCTCTCTCAAATAAATAAAATCTTTAAAAAAATAAATTGTGGTTCTTCAAAACAGTATGATAAATTTGGCAAGTGTTAATATATGACATAATAATAAAACAGCGGAGGATCCCTGGGTGGCTCAATGGTTTAGCGCCTGCCTTTGGCCCAGGGCACAATCCTGGAGCCCGGGATCGAGTCCCGTGTTGGGCTCCTGGCATGGAGCCTGCTTCTCCCTCCTCCTGTGTCTCTGCCTCTCTCTCTCTTTCTATGTCTATCATAAATAAATAAATAAATCTTAAAAAAAAAATAAAAAAAATAAAACAGTGTACAGCTATTATCAGATACTCACAATATTTGGAAACTCAAGAACAATCAGGATCCATACATAAACAGAAAACAAATGTTAGATAACTGACAAATGAAATTAGAAGCCTGTGAAATTTTTTTCTCAATTTACAGTTTGTGTGTGTTTAATAGCCCCAGTACAATCTACAGACCTCAGATATGCTAAGTTTCCATAACTTGTAGCACTACACACTTGTTTTCTTTTTATTACACAAAAGGTCACATCAAAGTAAAAGAATAGTTTGGATGTAGAGAAAGTTTATCAACTCCTCATTGAAGGTCTGAGTCTCAATGAATTTTTAGTACAAAAATTTACATTTCTGTCACAACTACGGCTTATTTCTGGAGAACTAAGAGTGAGTCCCCCTGGGGAATGAGACAGAACTCTGCTGTTGGCTCTCTCCTTTTGAAGTGCTTGTTCCCATTTGAAATAACCACAACATTTTCTGTTTTCTTGGTATTTCCCAACTGGGCAACAATAGAAGACTTTTCCATGGTTTGGTCCATTATTAGTAACAACAAGTCTCTTAGATCTTCGGCCACACTTGCATAAAGGAGGTGTCATTTTCCCACTCTTCCAAGGCTCTTGTAGATTAACTGTAGAAGCTAAGATAGAAGGGAGGACCTTCCAGGAACAACTTCTCACTGGGGAGCCATCAGATGATGTAGGTTTTTCTTCATGAACAGTGAGGGTCTGTTTTTTTGCTGGTGGGAAAGCCAGGGGACTGGATACATTCCTCTTAGTACCACGTAAAAGAAGGGGGTATTTCTCCAAAACTAAAGGATGAGACACACTGGCATTAACACTGTAGAAGCTACTTGATTTGTGTTCAGGTAATTTAAAGTCAGAAACATCTGAACCTGGATCTTTAGCTTCTTTCACATGATAAATAGTAGTATGTGGACTCTTATATACAACAGACTTAGAGGTCCCAGATTTTTGAGGACCTTCTTCTGTGCCTTCTTTTAAAACCATTAATCTTTCTATAGAATTAAATGAAGTGTCTAAGTTTGAGTCACCAATGGGAGGTATACAATCCATATTTTGCTCAGGCTGAGATGCTGGCAGTAAAGCTATATCCTCCCAATCGGCCAACATAGGTAAACAATCAAGAGCAGAACTCATTTCCGTATCAGAAACATGATTAACAGATGAAATGGTAGTTGAAACAAGTACCAATTCTGAACCAATCGCTGAAGTCTTAGATTTGGTATTAAATGCAAGGTGTTTGTTTCTTATGTGCTTCTGCATAGGTATATTCAAGCTGGAAGATGGCAACTGCTTTAGAGAATTAGAGGACTTTGTATTAAAAAGAGATAAGTTGCTCTTGCCATTGTGAAGACCTGTGTTTACGTTGTTCTTTAGTTGGAACTGATCTTGCTGTACCTTTACAGGAGAATTCATACCAACTGGCCTCATTTGAACTTTTCCATGAGAACTTACTGCATTTTTAGGCTCCCTATCATATATGCTCAGACCCTGAATGTTACTGTTGCAGGCTGATGTTTCTTCAACTTGATTCGTATTCAAATTTCTGGCCAAAATTCTGGAATTCTTCTTAGTGGGAACCTAGGATTCCACAGACAAATCCAATAGCTTTAGAGACTATGCATTCATAATCTCTTTGATACACATCATATGATTTGACAAAAAAGAAAAATATCTTCATTCATCGATTTATTGCACATATGATATCTGTATTTCAATGAACCTATAATTACTTTTGGAGTTTGAGATGACAGAATAAAGAGGCAAGACACCACTAACCTTGTTTAAGGACCTTGTAATTTTCATTAAGCAACCATCCCTGATCATTTTCCAAGCAAGCATGGCAGTGTTCCGAGAATCATCCAATCCTGAGGAAATAGATTTCAAACACTGAATTTAGTAGTATGACTGTAAGGAAATACAGCAAAAATAAGAAATCACAATTTATATTGGAACATATTATTAGTTTTATGATCTACTAATTTTAATCATGATAAATTGGACTAGTAAAAAGCTGTGGCAACCTTACCAACAAAAGACAAGATCTTCCACATTTATAGAGGAGATAAAAATGTATTACAGTTCACAAAAATGTAAACATTCTTAGGGACCATGCTTGATGAGTAATCTAATGGTCTTGTTCAGTTTTTTCGCTAATTTGCTGTGTTATTTGGGCACCTGTTTAATCTCCATTTGATTTAGTTCATTTTCATTCTTTTTAACAACCAGAAAGCCACTAGATGGCAATCTTTATCTTATACTACTTTATGGTAATAATTTAAAAATCAGAAATCTTTGAATTTTATAGGTTAGGAACTTTAGACTGAAGGATATTCCTTATTAATGATATCACCAAAAACATGAGATTCATATGAAAGACTTTGTAAAAATAAGATAATTTTTATTTATATAATAAAACTATGTAAAATTGTTATTTACATAATAAAATTATTTTCAATTTATACTAACCAGAATGTTCTCGTCCTAAGAATTCTATTCCTACTTCCTGCAGGGCACCACTTAGTCCTTTTGGTTTTCTTCTATAGAAAATCTAACCAAATAAAAGAAGACATATCCAAAACCAGGTTACTATTAGAAAGGCTATGTATTAACCACTTATTTTTCATAATTTTTAGTTTTATTAGATTTGGAATATGCTGGGACCCCTGGGTGGCTCAGCGGTTGAGCATCTGCCTTCAGCTCAGGGAGTGATCCTGGAGTACCAGGATCGAGTCCCACATCGGGCTCCCTGCATGGAGCCTGCTTCTCCCTCTACCTGTATCTCTGCCTCTCTCTCTCCATGTCTCTCATGAATAAATAATTGAAAAAAAAAAAGATTTAGATTTGGAATATGCTTATTTTGTCATTCTTACATACCTAAGAAATGTATTTATGTGAAAGTTTTAAAATATAGTATTTTACTTACAGTAACCTATACCCATGTATGAGATGAAGTTTAATCATTTTTCAATAGAAGGAAAGTGACTATACCCCCATCTTTGATCCTTACCTTGTAAGTTACTCTGAGATCAATCCAAGAATTCAAGAACACAGGTTTTAACAGCTGTTTTCTTTTACACTCATACTCCAGGCAAACCCCCAAGTCCCAGTCTGCAATAAGTATGTTAAAATAGAACAAATTCAATGATGCCAGCAGTTTTTACTCATCCTATCATTTATAAACAAAATTTTACATATTGAAATATATAAAATAAAACAAGATTTAGAAAAACCTAATACATATAATAGTATATAGAACACTATCATTACATACTACAGATCCAAGTGTAAAATGTACTATATATATAAGCTATACTACATATAACAACATACTACATAAAACAAAATAAGATTTAATTGCTGTTAATGTCTAACAATTGTTCACTTCACATAATTTACTGTTAAGAAATTAGGTTGGTGGGACGCCTGGGTGGTTCAGTCGCTGAGCATCTGCCTTCCGCTCAGGGCATGATCCATGGTCCAGGTTCGAATTCCACATTGGGCTCCTTGTAGGGGGCCTGCTTCTCCCTCTGCCTGTATCTCTGCCTCTCTCTCTGTCTCTCATGAATGAATAAATTTTAAAAATCTTTTTAAAAAATTCCTAAATGACCAATAAAAAGAATAAATTGTTAAAAAAAATAAATTAGGTTGGTAACTAAGTTTCAAAATAATTTCTTAAAAACTCAAACACACTATTTCCGAAATAAGAGTAATGAAAAAAAAAAAGAGTAATGTGTCAAAAAAAAAAAAAAAAAAAGAGTAACATGTCAAGTTACAAGGCCTGCAAGGAGGTTATCTGCTTTCAACATTCTAGAAAATACTAACATAATTGAGAAACCAGACATCTTATAGAAACCTAAAACCAAAATATGATTATCGATGGCACAGCATAGCTATCAATGACTAATAATGGTAGTGCTAAATCATAGGCATACAAAGGATCTACTTTAATGGCCCATTTTTTCCTAGTATAAAAGTATAAAGCAAAGGATTGGAGTTGAATGGAGACTCTTTTTATTCAAGGTTGTAGAAAGTAGCCTTAAGAGTTTTCACTAAATCATCCTGCCTGGAGCCAGAAGAACAGGAAGGAAGAATCTAGAAAGATTCTTAAAGTCTTAAAATTTGAAAGTATCCCAGAATGATAATTCGTAAAATATGAGTAAATATACTTCCCTTAGTTAACATCTGTTAGGCACTGAGATTTCTTTTCGAGACCTAAGAAGTTAACAAGTACAATTCTTACTACAGATAATTACGTAGTGATAATAGTAATAATCCTACTCATTTATGATTGATAGGTAGAACTTATTTTTTACCTGACCAAGTAACAAATGCACATAATTTTACTTCAGAATTAGACAGATCTGAAATCCCAGTAGCAAAAATAATTTTCTTCTGTTGCTGAATCTTCTGAATCCATTTACGGAACTGAGATAAGCAAATTCTCAGAGGGACTCCTTCATCAACTTGAGCCTGAGTAAAGTCACAAAATCTGAATTCAACAATCGAATCCCATAATCATTGAACACATCATTAGCACATAATTAGGCACTATAGAGGGATGTAAAAAAAGAAGAGTTCTGACTACTAGAGTTTATTTTGTAAAAAAGATGCTAAAACATGTGGAAGAGAGATGATTAGAACACTGTGAGATAAGAAAAATTAGGTTGTTCCACCTAAAATAACACAGAAATATAGTAATTAAATCCTGACTGACAGAAATTTGGTGTCACTTAATTTCCATGAAATAAGTCTGATATTTATTCTTACAATACTATTCTTTTTAATTTTTAAATATTCCAACAGAGATCTGGAGGGAGCATTATTTTTAACAGTACATAAATCTAATTCCAAATGGGTATATGCTTTTTATTTTCTCTTAAAAACTGATTTCAGAATTTTAATATTTGGCATCTGACCTTCTTGGTTCTGGGAGAGGGGCAGGGTGAGAAGAAACATAGAGAAAAGAAAGAGCATACCTGTTTTATGCCTGTCAGTTCCATGCAAAATTCAGAAAGAACTGGATGTTCTTGAGGCTGAACATAAGCATGGAACTCAGATTCAATCTCTCCAGTTGATGTGTTCAGCAATATTGCTGGAAATTCAACTATATGAAAGAATCAGCAATTGACATTTATGTACTTAATCAATTGACATTTAAATATATAATTATTAAATTAATGCTGTAATCACTCTAAATTAAACATATTTTACCATTATTTCAGCATGTTAAAAAGACCAAAGCCGTGTGATTTGTTATAAAATTGTGCCAAAGAATAAGTCAGAATATTAAAGTTATGAATATATCTATTTAAAACTCTTGAATATATTCCCACAATTAAATATGAAGACCATATAGAAGTTAAAATGTACTGCTTTTTGCAAAGGTATTTTTTCAGTTCCTATGCAATTGAGATTTTGTATGGAATTCTAAAGTAATTATTTTATATGATGATACTTCCAGATGTTAGGTTTTTGGTTTGTTTTTTGTTTTTTTTTTTTGGTTTAGTCAGGTTTTATAGTAAACTACCAATTCATGGACTATCTTATTTTCTTTAACTGTTAACTATTGTATCTATTAAAGTGACTCCTCTAGGGCTAGCTTTGGCCCCTGGCAGTCCAGACTTAACTTATTTCTTGGCTCTGGTGGTGTTTCCCATCATTCCAACACGTTGACTCAAAATCAATGACAATTAAGTAATCAAACAACTGCTCTGCAAAACAAAAGGTGTATTTATGCTTTACCAGAGTTAAAAGTGCAACGATACAAAATGTAAAGAAACGAAGAGTACTACTTACTGGATTTACTTCGTCCTAGATTTCCATTTGCTGGTGCCACGAACTTTCTTCTAATTAATCCAAGTTGCCTAAGAATGTGAAACAACTCAATTATGTTCAACAAACTCATTTACATTCCTGTTTGAATATGCCAACAAACTAATGGCATAACCCCATTCTTAATGTATTAATGTGAGTTGACAGGAAATTGAACTAGACTTTAAGAGCAAAAGACCTTGGTTCTTAGATGGACTGCCACCCTCTCTTTTTAGTAGTCATTTCACCTGCATGAGCCTCAAGAGTTCAAATTTGCAAACTCAGACTAATTCTTTCTGCTCCTCTTGTTTTACAGTAAATATTGAGGAACTTGAGTGATTGCAGGGGTAAAGCACTGAAAAGCTTACTTTTGGTTTTGCATTTTTCAAGCCCTTGCTATGTGCACAGCACAGGTCTGAGGAGATAGGGCAGATGCAGTCTTCTAAGAGCCCCAAACACACCTCTGGGTGAAGAAACTAGGCATCTATGGTAAACTACTGTATGGTAATGTATGACAAAGGACCCATAAAGGCAATACTTGAATCCAACAAAAGGGGTGAGCATACTGAGGTGTTAAGACAACTACTTTGAGGAACAGGTCGAGTTTAACTAAGTAGACACTTCCGGTTGTTTTTTTTTTGTTTTGTTTTGTTTTCGTTTTTTTTAAGACCTATGATGGGAAGTGCAAAGAGTTGAAAATAACCGGTAATATTTAATTGATTGCTTACTACGGAGCAGGCACGAACTCTGGTGATCTCACTTAATCCTCAACCACTGTGTGAGGTAGTCACTTTTGCTACCTCTTATTTTATGGATGAGAGAACTGACTCCGTAATTTGCGGAAGGACACAGATTTGGTATGCGAACCCCCGGATCGTTCAACTCTGAAGCCCGTGCTATTTACTAATACGACAGAATTCTAGAATTCAGAAATGTGCACAGCGTGACCAGGAATCAGGGAGAAAGCCACAATAAATCCACATTATGAATTAAACGGGGAGCTCCTGAGAACTCGGAACGGCCTACCAGGCGCCGGGTCACGTCCATTCCGTTTCCTGAGGCCTAGAACCCGCACACAGTGGCTCAAGGCCACACAGTCGCGAACCCGGGTTTTTCCACCCGCGCGCAGAGGGCGGCCTGAGCGAGGCTGGGGGCCGCGATCCAGGCGGAAACCTTGCAGTCCGAGCCAGACACAGGGCAAATCAGAGACGCCGAGGCTGCAGAGAATGAGGGCTGACACCGCAAATGCCCACTGCCCAGCCCTGCCTCGGGCGCCAGCGCCCGACTAGAAGCCACCCCCAGACCAGAACACCCCCCACAGCGTACCGCGCCAACTTCTTGGTCGCCATTCCAAGAACTCCTCCCTCCCCCAGCCCAACTGCCGGAAGTCGTTAGACCCCCCCACTTCCGGTCCATTCAAACGCCTGGCGCGTCTGAGGAGGCGGTTGCGGCGGAGGCTTTGGCTGCGGCTGAGCCGGTGGCTGCTGCGTCGGTGCCGTTTGCTCGTCTTCTCGTTGGTGTTTTCGGCGCTCGGGGGCACGGGGAGTGTTTTTTGACAGGGAAGTCGCTTGGCAGCAACCTTTTCCCTCTTTTTCAACGGGCGGAGGCGTGTTCGCGCCGTTGGGGAACCGTTTCGAATCCGGCCTCCGGCGCGGACGGTAAAACCGTTGATCTCCGTGCGGTTTTCTCCGCAGCGGGACAGGGAGGATCGTTGGCGCCCTCGCTTTTCGGGGAGGGGTGGGAGGGCTTCGTACACTGAATTGAAGCGAGGATCTGAGGGAGGTTGTAGGCTCTCGAAGCCCTAGCTGCTTCCCCGTCTGGAGACGGCGTTTTCTCAGCTCTCGCGGGTCTTTCTCCACAGCCTCATGGAGCCCGAAAGGGAAAGGACCGGGAAGCACTTCAAGAAGGGCAGGAAGAGGAGGCGGGCCCCGAACACGCTGGTCGGGGCGGCTGAGGCGATGAGAGCCCGTTGGGAGCTGGGGGAAAGGCAGCCCGAGGCCAAGGTGAGCAATGGGGAGCCCGAGTGGGAGGCTCGGGAGACCCCGTCTGCCCTGGACGCCGCGGGGTCAGCCTCACCCACCCACTGGCCTTTCGGAATCCTGCTTGCCAGTCTGTAAAATGGGAACGATAATGTTAGTACCACTTATCCCAGTGCTGTTTAAAACTGATGTGATGCCCGAGACCCAAAAAGAATGTTCACTCAACACATACTTCATGGAGTCTCCCGTGTGCCAGGAATTGTTCTGGTTTCCGGGGATATCGCGGTGCGCAAACCCCAAAATTCCCTGCCCTCGTGCAGTTTACATGCCACGCCAGTAAGTCAATAATAAGGCTGTTGAGCATCCCAGCCATGTACTGAGAACTAAATATGCATGGTCCGTCCCTTAAGTCATCCGATTTCTGTTGTCTGTCGTATGCTGGCCACTGGCCTAGGCACTTGGGGCACATCAGTGAATTAACAGGGGTTACTACTTAGTTTTAGTGGAAAGAGAGGGAAGACGAACAGTAGATAGAAGTTTTATTCAGGTTCCCCCCACTATCCGAAAGTACAACAATTCTGTAAAATCTAATAAGCTGAAATGGTGTAAAGCAAAGCAGCATGTATTCATTTATGTGGGGGGACAAATTGGAGCGTTTCCATCCCCTTCTCCCCCCAAATAATCTGTTAGGTTTTCTGGTATTTCAAGACAGATCTTGCTAACTGACGTACAAGATCAAGATAAAGTGCAGATGGTCACAGACAGTTCAAAGCTATGAGGGCTTCATGTTAAGGGCACCTCTTGGGGAAAGAGCTTCACTGTGCCTGCTTTGCTTGGGGTGCACCACCCTTATAACTGGCTTGTGAAAAATACTGAAGGTAAAAGCGAAAACAGGTACAGTGCTAATAGGTCTGTCATTAAAGGGAAATGACAGGCCACAACCTTTCAGAAAGAAGATACCTGTAGGATGTAAAAAGGGAATTAGTGCTATGAAAACATTTTACTTGAAAGGGATTCTTTTTTGCTGTCAAATTGGCAAACAACGTTTTATTTTTTTTAAAGATTTTATTTATTTATTCATGATAGAGAGAGGGACAGAGACACAGGCAGAGGGAGAAGCAGGCTCCATGCAGGGAGCCCGACACGGGACTCTATTCCAGGACTCCAGGATCACGCCCTGGACCAAAGGCAGGGGCTAAACCGCTGAGCCACCCAAGGATCCCCCAGGCAAACAACTTTTTAAAGATGATGAGAAGTATAATAGTCTCATCATTCTTTAATTTTGAAACAATCGCAAACTTGAAAAGTTGTAAGAACAGTACCAAGAACCACCTCAGGCAGCATTTGAAAGTGATTGCTAACAATCCTCCATGACTGCCCCCCCCATATTTTAATATATGTTTCTCATAAGCGGCCCCACAGAATCACAATGCAACCATCAAAATAAAAAAATAACATGGATATATTGCTACCATCTTATCCTCATCCCATTCAAGTTCCAATAATATCCTTTTTAGCAAGAAGATCCAGTCTAGAACCATGTGTAATATTTAGTTGTCCTGTCTCTTTCAGTCCAAACAATTCTTCAGTGTTTTCCTTGACATCTATGGCCTTACTACTCTTAAAGAATCCTGAACCAGTTATTTTGTAGAATGTCCCTCAAGTTGGTTTGTCTGTTTCCTCATTGATTAGTTTCAGGTTATATATGTTTGACAGGACTACCAAAGTGACACTCTTTTCTCTTAAGTTTTATTAGGTTGTACATGGTTTTGATCTGTTGCATTCTTGTTCTCTTTTTCTCTAAATTTGATAGAGATGCTTCCTTGTTAAACTTGTAATTCATTTTTTTCATTAGTATGAACTCATTGCCTATTTCAATGGGTTATTATCCATTACTATATTTATTTTGATGCTCAAAATATCCCATATTTGAGCATTAAGCTAGCTTCTGTGTTCTTTGGACATGACCTCATCATTCTTTGAGCATTTCCTTTCTATTTTGGCACAAAAAAGGTATTCTAGGCTCATCTGTGCTTTTCCTGCCCAGCCCTGAAATTGTAATTTTTTTTCTGTAATGGTAGGTTCTCTTTAGGAGAGAATGACATTTAAAATCTGGGTACTAGATGTGCTCAGTGCTATTGGGATGTCAGTACTTCCAAAAGAGAGCTAGGAAATACGTGTTTATATATCTGTATACCCATATATACATACATGTTTACATTTATATATTTTTCTATCCATACTTGTTAAAATCTCTACTTCTCTATTTCCACAAGGTTCATTCTTGTTTTCTCTTCATGTTTATAATTTCCTTCTCTTTGACACCCCACAATGGGCTCTCCTTCTGCATGTATGCCTTGGGTTCCTTCCCTTAGTCCTAGCTCTTTCCCTCACTTTCCCCTAGCTCTTTGCCACATAGACCCTACATACCTCATTCAGTCTCACTTACCAGTCTTATATTTTTTATTGTAAATATAAATTTGTATTTTCTTTCAGGAATTAATAGTATTTGTCAGAATTAGATAGTTGATCCTTGAATAACATGGGGGATTGGGGCACTGAACCACCATCTACTGTCTCTGCTCTGTGCGGTCCAAAATCCATGTATAACATTTGATTCCCCCAAAACTTAACTACTTATAGCCAGAAACCTTAGCAATAACATAAACAGTTGGTTAATACATATTTTGTAAATTACATGTGTTCTATACTATATTCTTTAGAAAAAGTAAGCTACAGAAAATGTTACTAAGAAAAGCATAAAGAAGAGAATACATTTACAGTACCATACTGTATTTACCAAAAACGATCCACATATAAATGAATCTGCACAGTTTAAATCTGTGTTGTTCAAGAGTCAACTGTAGGAGCTTATTTTGACCAGGGACTTTATCCAGAGTATTTATCCAGGTACATAGGGATGTTTGAAAGGATGTTCATGATATTTATAATTAAAAAAAAAAACAAACATTTATCATCAATAGGGGATTTTTTTCATAGAAGTTGTGAATGTTGAGATAAATTCAGAGAATGAACTATTAAAATTGGTGTTTGTTACATTTAACTGATTTTTGCAGGGAGGGAGGGGTGCAGAGTTGGTTATCAAACCGAAACAGAATACTGTAATCCTTTAGGGGCAGTATAGTACAGAGATGAAGAGTTAGGGCTTTGGAGCCTGTATTCCAGTCTTTGTTCTACCACTTCCATTCTTCTATTTCTTTATGTAAAATAGGGATAATGGTACTATCCACTTAAGAAGACTTGTAAGGGGACACCTGGGTGGCTCAGTGGTTGAGCATCTGCCTTCAGCTCAGGGCATGTTTCCGGGGTCTTGGGATCAAGTCCCTCATTGGGCTCCCTGCGGAGAGCCTGCTTCTCCCTCTGCCTATATCCCTGCCTCTTTCTCTCATGAATAAATAAATAAAACCTTTTAAAATAAAAAGAATACTTGTAGGACTTAAATGACTTACTAAATTAAAGTGCTAAGAACTGTTAAATGACTAATTAATAGGTGCTCAACATTAGCTTTAAAAACTCATGGGAAAAATAGGAATAATATCTAATGTCTATTAAGTACTTATGTCAGTTTCACTATATTGTACTTGTATTACCTCGTTGGTCTTCCCAATACTTTCATGAGGTGGAATTATAATTACTCTGTAGATGAGGAAATTGAGTCTTAGGTTAAGACACTTAGCCCAGATGGTAGAGCTTGGTTTTGAACTCAGGTAGTATGACTTCAGGGCTTTAAGCTCTTAACCAGTCTACTCTGCTGCCTCTCAGATCAAAATGAAAGTTGTCTAAGTACAGGTGACTTATTTTCTTTTATCTATTGTTTTTATCTTACCTTTCTCTGTTACCTGACTCTTTTCACAAACATGAACTTGCTTTACTTTAATAACCAAATATAAGTGCAAAACTCCTATATTTAGGAGGGAGAAACTTTAGTGAACTCCATGTTTCCCCCAGAATAATGTCAGACTCCTTAGCTTAGACCCCAGCGATCTATGATGTGACTCCCTTCATCTTCTCTGAAATCTCCACTGCTCTGCAACATGCCTTCTTGGCTCCAGCCAAACAAAACTGCATGTTCAGACACAATGTTCCCCCCTCAGCTGACTGACAGATTATTTTCAAGACTTTGCCAGTATTTTCAATCAGTGAAGCTATCCCCCAAACTCTAACCCTCAAGGCAGTTAGCCTCCTTTCTGCTACAGCTTTATAATAGCATTGTATTGGAATTAACCTATTTCTGCATTTTTCTTCCCTTAGTAGAATGAACTTGAGAGCGTGAATCATGTTTTATTCATTCTACTATCCCTAGCACATAATCAAGTATCTATAATAAGATTCTGTATCAATATTTATAAACATTGTGTTAATAATAATGTCATATCACAGGTTGTTTTAGACCTTCATTTACAGTTAATAGATCCTTCTTTATGTTTGCATATAATTTGCTTTGCCTTGTTCCTGTTCTCAGTAGTCCTAATTTTTAAAAAATATTTATTTATTTATTTTAGAGAGAGTGTGTGTCTGTGAGCAAGGGAGGGACAGAGGGAGAGAAGCCGACTTCCTCCTGAGTGGGGATCCTCATGTGGGGCTCAGTCCTAAGACCCTGAGATCGTGACCTGAGCTGAAATCAAGAGTCGGATGCTTAATTGACTGAACCACTTATCTGCCCCAGTAGTCCTAATTTTTAATGCCCTGATTTACCTTTGCAGAAAGCCCGCTTATCTGCCATTTTATTTGCTGAAAACTGTGAAGTAACCCATGACCAGTTATGTGAATTGCTGAAGTATGCAGTTCTGGGCAAATCCAGTGTTCCTAAACCCAGGTATGAGATGAACTTAAATGGTTGGTGAGGATAGACCCGAGGTTTCGAACTAGTGTCTAGAGGGTCCTATATTTCCTTAATTGACATTACTTGTTTGCCATACAGAATGTCCGAATTTTTTTTTTTAATGAAGGGGAGGGGCAGAGAGAGAGGGAGAGAGAGTCCCAAGTAGGCTCCATACCCAGTACAGAGCTGGATATGGGGCTCAATCTCACAACCCCAAGATGATGACCTGAGCCAAAATCAGGACTTGGATGCCTAACCGCCTGAGCCACCCAGGCACCCCTACATTTTTTTCTTTACAGGAATTGCCAGCATTTAATTTGAGAATTCCTTTATTAAAATCCAGATACTTGGGGATCCCTGGGTGGCTCAGCAGTTTAGCGCCTGCCTTCGGCCCACAGCGTAATCCTGAAGTCCTCTCTGTCTCTGTATCTCTCATGAATAAATAAATAAAATCTTAAAAAAAAAGAAACACCCTTTTTAAAAAAAATCCAGATACTTTATCTCTTCTGGTTCACTTCCCTTATTTACATTATCTGTCTGACTGCTTTTTGGATTGCAACCCTCTTGGGAGCTTCCTGGGTGTAAAGTGAAACCCGCCCCACTTACTTGGAGGGCAGGGAGAGACTGAAGAAAGAGGCAGGCCACTCCAGGTTGGTAAGTAGCAGTTTTAATAATAAGTGAAGGGAACTTACATACAAGGCTTGTCTTGGACAGGAGGAAGACAACTGGATACCTATACCTGTTTGCCAAATCTTTAAAAAGTTTATCTAGAAACTTTAACTGGGTTCAGTCATGAACCATGCAGGTATTTTCACCACCACATAACTATCTCAAGGCTGTGTCCTTGGAGCAGTCTCTGGGATCAGGAAAAACAAGCAGACTCCACATTCCAAGGACAGAGGAGGAGGGAGTAAGGAGCTTTCAGGTGCCAGGGTCCAGCTGACAGGTCAGCTGGCATTCAGGTCTTTTCAGTGACCTTTCCCAACACCACTTAAAGGTATTTTGATTTGTAACCCTTAGTGGAGACCCAATTTAAATTACATGATCATATGTTAAGAGTTCCAGTTTATCTTTTTCGTTCCTTTTACATTAAGAGGCAAAGAGAATTTTACTATTCTGATATCAATGCCATTGTTAAATGTCTAATGAAAATTGCTTTTGTATATGTACCAATAAAAAAGTTTTCAAAACTTTTCAGTTTTTCAGACATATCTATCAGAGGGAGATTGCCTGGATAACTGAAGAGCAATCTTCCTCATTAGCAAGTATAGCTAGTAGTCTGTCAATTTATCTGAAACTGGCTTTCTTGAAACCAGTCATATGATTACTAGCTTAGAAAGGACTCAGCCACTTGGGATTTTGAGGATATGCCTTTGTAAAATGAGTTTATTTCCAATTTAAAACAAATAATAATAGGACTTTGAATTTGAATGCATTGTGTTTCCTTTGGTATCCTACTGGATTTGAATGCAATAAATAATTACCTCAAGAGATCTTTATTTGAATTCTGTGCAGTAATAGCTGTTCTTTGCCACGCAGTCATTGAGTGATGATAAACGCCATTAACTGTTGCTCACTGTTTTTTTTCCCCACACTTCCCTTTTGTATGTCTACAACTGACTTGATGGTATCACTTTTAGCTGTATCGGTTTGATTTTTCAACAGCTGGTGCCAGCTTTTTCACCAAAACCACCTGAACAACGTAGTGGTTTTTGTACTGCAGGGAATGAGCCAGCTACACTTTTACAGGTTCTATTTGGAGTTTGGATTTCTCCGAAAGGCATTCAGACACGTAAGTATTAGGGCGTGAGTTGAGTCCTCTCATCCAGAGACTAATGCACGTCTCAAACTATGCTCCTTAGCAATCTGATTGAACAAGCAGTAGAGGTTATAGAAAGCAAGGATTAAGATTCAGAGATCTCTTGTTGAGATTAAGATTTGCCTTTGATTTTCTTTGATAATTTAGGCGAAACATTTATTACCAGATTACAATCTATATGTAGTATCCAAGGTGATGATATCCTACTTTATTTGGGTTCTGATGTTTTCAGAAATTATATACTTTACGTAAATTCTGTGTTTTTTGGTCTCTTGATTACATCATAAGATTGGACATCCTTAGAACAGCATCTGGAGCTGAATAGCAGCTGTTATCTTTGGAAGAGGCAGCTGCTCTCCATTTTCCTTCCCATAGCCATCTCCATTCTTTATTGGACATTTTCATCCATTTACCCTTGAGGGATTCAAGTTGGTGAGTCCAAATCTTGGGTCTCCATTTTCTTTTTTGCTTTCATTTATTAAAGGCTACATATGTGCTAGGACCTACATCAGTCATTCTGTCTGCATCATCTTTAATTCTCACAGTAGTTCTGTGAGAGTTAAAAATATCTTCTATATGTAAGAAAACTGAATAACTTGTCCAAGTTATAGCCAGTAAGTTGGTAGAGCTAGAATTTCAGTGCAAGTGAGCCTAAGGCTGGAGTTCTGAACCTTTCAGCTTTGTTGTGTCCTAACTACCTGGCAAGCTGTCTACTAACATAATAGATACAGAAAAATATAAGGGACATCTCTGTAATATTTGTCTTTGTTTCCAATGTGTAATCAGAGAACAAAAGAAAATTTCTAGGGTAGGATAAAGGTAGCTTCATTTACTTAGTTACTTTTATTTTTTAGATTACCTAATCACTTTTACACATTAAGGAAAAAGTCCTCGTTTTGCAATACAAAAAAGTCCAGACCTTTCATAGCACTGAGCTGACAATAAAAGTGCAAGTCTTTGACAATATTTTAACTACTTGTAAGAATTTTTATAAAAACTTGGTTATGTATTTTCAGAAATTCCGCTTGCCACCTCCATCATCTAATTTTCTAGCTGATATCATTGGACTGAAAAAGAAACAAGCAACACGGGATCAATCCAAAATGGGGGAAGGTATGGCTATGATTCTGGTTTGATGATTTGCTCATTCTGAAAGATACTATAGTATGCTTATTAAGTGGATCTATCAGTTACATTTATTCTTGCAAGCAACTAAGCTCAATTTTAACTACCTTAAACAGAAAAGCAATTTTTTTGAAAGAAAAAATGGGTAAGTACCTAGGAGAATAGGAGAGCAGAAACCATAGCCAGTATTCATACCCTAGAAACCATCTGGTTAGGTGAGATAGCAAAGGCTATCCCTGCATATCACTAACATTGAAGTCTTACAAATTACTGTGAATAATTTTTAAACTGGGTCTTTGTACTCCTGAGTGTACAGAAGGGAAGGAAGAGCTTGCCTTTGACTAATGTCAGGAACACCCTTAATGCTACTCACAGTGGGGAATAGGCAGAATGTTTAAATGCTGGCAATCTAAAAGAGAAATATCCATGACAGCAAATGATGCATTATGTCCATGAGTAAGTTGTAGTTAATCTTCTGTTTTTGTAGGGGAGCAAGGAGGTAAGTGATGGAATAGAAAAGAACTTAGCTAGAGTTCATTAGACATAGTAAGTATTGTCCACTGATGTTTTTTTATGGGTGTTCAGAAATAATTGAATAAACTGAGGGGACCTGAAAAAGTGGTGAGGAGTAGCCAGTGATTTCTTCCTGTCTCCTAGGGCTGTGCTTTCTATTATCCTGTCTCAAAGACCTTGAACTCCTTTTATTTGCGTTGTTACCCTCTTCTTCCACTAGATAGCTGTATCTGACCTGCCTCTGTGTTTGATTTTACTTCTGTGTTTTAAACATCTTTGAGTAAATAACAGAGTGGTCATTTCTAGATTCAAAGCTCATGTAAAGACATAGCATTGCAGAAGAAATCATCAGGAAAAAAAGAACTTTGATATGGCTGAAGAATATAGATTGTTGGGGATAATTAGAGGAGGATGGGTTGGAATAAGAGCAGTGGTAAGAGATGAGGCTGAGAGAGGTAGGTTAGAGCTATGTCCTGCGGGCTGTAAATGTCATGCTAAGGTTTAGATTTTAATCTGTAGACTTTGAGGAATCAGAGGATTATGGCTACTTCTCTGTCCTCTTAGGGATTTCACTTTGTTTCCCATCCTAAGCATCAGAGTCCCAAAGTGTAGTCTGTAACACTGATCTTCCTTCATTTGAGTCTTTTCTTTCAAAATATTATGTCTCCCCAAGTTGATCTATCACTCTTCTTTGGATAACTCCTGTATCTTTATCTCTAGAATTGATGTTCCAAAGTTCAGACTTGCATTTTCACTGGCCTGCTGGATGTTGCTCTTTGGTTATTCCCATCTTCCCAATCATAGCATAGCTAAAAGCATTTTTCTCATCTTTAAATAATGTAACACTGTCCTGTCTTCAAATCACTTTTTCAGTTGGTATTATTTTTCTCTAAGACAATAGTCTTGAATTTTAGGATTACTTTTCTTTTGGCTCCTCATACCAATCTGTATAGCTCATTCATTTTGCTTCTATGAATATCTATCTATTCGTATGTCACTTTATCAGAGAGACCTTCCCTAATTATAAAATATATGACAACCGCTTTCCTGCCCCAGTATTCTCTCTCCTCTTTACCCTCCTTTATTTTTTTCCGTAGTCCTTATGCTTACCTGACATATATTTGTTTATTGTCCATCTTCCCAACTAGAATTTTAGTTCCGTGGAGAATTTTGTTGACTTTGTTCATTGAGAAATCTCTAGTGGCTAGAACATTGCCAGACATAGAAGTACTTAGTAAATATTTTGTTGACTGAATTGAATTATTTTATCACTGTGTTCTGTTTTTCTTGGGTACTGTTTCTTTCCTATATCCCTTTTCCTTCATCCTTTCCACCATCTTGATTCAGACTCTAATCTCTTTTTTCTTTTTTTCTTTCTTTCTTTCTTTCTTTCTTTCTTTCTTTCTTTCTTTCTTTTTTTTTTTTTTTTTGTCCAGAATTTCTGCAGAACCTTCTCATTTCTTTCTCTACTCCATTTTCCACATTACCTTTGAGGTAATTTAAGATCTTTCTTAAATACTTTTTTGTTATGCCATTTCCCATCTTAGGAACTTTCTGTTGTTCTCCATTATGTATTGAATGATGGACTGGAATCTAAACTCTTGATCTTGGCATTTGCAGTGGTCTACAATTCATTTTTATACACCTCAACCTTGTTTCCTACACTGTTCTCCTACACAAACCTTTTTTTTCCCCTCAGTTGGTCTAGGCACTGCCATCCATACCAAGTTTGCTTTGTGCATTTCTGTTTTACCTGCAATCACCTCTGTTTAGTATTTTGACTTTTTTAGTTACAAGGACCAGATAGATACTCCAGTCATCTTAAATGAGAGGGATATTAAAGGATGCATGTAGACTAGAAAGCCCTCTCATGACATCTCTGCTTTCTGTTCGCTTTTAACTTGTCAGTTCTCTGTATTCCTTAGTTTGATTCTGGAAGCAAGTAATCTGATCAGTTTAGCTAATTACCATTGTTCTTTTTGAGCATCTCTTAACCAGGAATATCAGCTTATTGGTCTGCTTATAGATGGGTCTTTCTCTCTCTTATTTTCTCAAAGATTTATTTATTTTAGAGAGAGAGCATGAGCAGGGGGAGGAGCAGAGGGAGAGGGACAAGCAGACTCCATGCTGAGCACTGAGCCAGATGCAGGGCTCAGTCCTAGGACCATGAGATCATGACATAAGCCAAAATAAGAGTCGGACACTCAACCAACAGCCACCCAGGCACCCCTAGATGGGTCTCTTTTAAGTTGGGTTCCCACTCTTCAGTTGGTAACCACTCCTGCTTAAAGAGTAGGCTGATGCTTAAGTGGCTAGGGTTGGAATAGATTTAGCTGGAATGGGCTGTTAGGAGTGGCAGGCACTGTATGGACAGGTCTAATATACCAACCTTCTAAATTCTGCTTTTTCTTTAAGACTCAGCAGCTAACCTTTTCCTCTGTTGAACCATCTTTCACCACCCCAGTGTATTATTCTTCCTTTCCATTCTATAGCTTTTATTATTATAACCCATTTGACTGACACTTATATTCTCTTTGTGTCCCTATAACTAATTACATACCACCTCCTTAGTTGAGGCTGGGTTTTGCACATCTTTTGATTTTCACTGTGCTTACCTGACACAAGGTTTAGAAATACGTCCTCTGGGCAGCCCAGGTGGCTCAGCGGCTTAGCGCTGTTTTCAAGCCTAGGATGTGATCCTAGAGACCCGGGATCAAGTCCCATGTTAGGCTCTCTGCATGGAGCCTGTTTCTTCTTGTGTCTGTGCCTCTCTCTCTCTCTGTGGAGGAGCAGAGGAAGAGGGACAAGCAGGCTCTGTGCTGAGCATAGAGCCTGATGCTGGGCTTGATCTTGATTCTGAGGTAACAACCTGAGTCAGAATCAAGAGTCGGGATGGTTAACTGACTGAGCCCCCCCCCCCCCCCCAGGTGCCACTTCTTAAACACACATCCTGACTATTAATGGTCCTTTTTGTTTCAGGGTCTTTACCTTCTACCAGTTCAAAAGTCAGAGTCAACCTGCAGAATGACCCTATTATTCAAAAGTATGGCTCTAAGAAAGTGTGCTTAACCAGATGCCTTCTCACAAAGGAGGAAATGAAAACATTTCACTTTCCATTACAAGGTTGGTTTAGATTTAATCTGATATTGGTAACAATATCAGAATATGTAAGTTTATTTGTAAGTATTACTATTGGAAGTTTTTTTCTTTTTGACTGCTTTCCAAATGACTTAATCCATATTTTACTTAATAAGGAAACACTGAATAAGGAAACACTAAGTGCAGTGTTTCCTAAGTGTAGATGTGTACCTTGATTGGTAAAGTGATGATTTCAGTTAATACATAAATATGACCTTAAATATCATTGAAATCTTCTGTGAGAAAGCTATTCCTTTTTCAGTTTTCTTGGTGTTTCTTCTTAGTATATTTGTATATTTCTTCTTAGTATATTAAAGTCAGTATGTTTTTAACACTTCTCTAATACTTCCAGTCTTCCTCTTACCCCACCATACCCCGTCTTCATTTACCTCAGTGAATAGAACAGGTCTGCGCTCAGAGCCTTGATCAGTTATGTAGCAAGAATTTAACGAAAATGCTTTAATTTCATTTTATTTTCTTTATACCTTTTAATCACAGTAACGTTAAATTTCTTTAAAAAAAAAAAACACTCTTATTGAGATACATAATTAACCATATAATTCACCCTTTTAATATAACACGATTCAGTAGTTCTTAGTGTATTTACATAGGTTTACAACCATCACCATAGTCAATTTTAGGATACTTTCATCACTTCAGAAGAAACCGTATACTATTATTTTTCACACGACAGCCTTACCACCCCCAGGCAATCTCTAGTTTCTGTCTGTGGATTTACCTATTGTAGATATTTCATGTTAATAGAATCAAACAATATATGGTCTTTTGTAACTGACTTTTTTCGCTTAACATAAAGTTTTCAAGGTTCATCCATGTTGTAGCATGTGTCAGTACTTCATTTTTTTTTAAATTTCTTTTCCTTTTATTTTTTAAAGATTTTATTTATTTATTCATGAGAGACACCAAGAGAGTGGCAGAGACATAGGCAGAGGGAGAAGCAGGCTCCCTGCAGGGACCCCAAGTGTGGGACTCAATTCTGGGATCATGCCCTGAGCCAAAGGCAGATGCTCAACTGCTGAGACACCCCGGTGTCCCTTTTCCTTTTATTTTAAGTTTAATTTTAGTAAGATTAAATATAATTTAGTTTTAGGGGGTGTCTGGGTGGGCTCAGTCAGAAAAGCATGAGACTTGGATCTCAGGATTGTGAGTTCAAGCCCCATATTGAGTGTAGAGATTAAATGATGATTATTAAAATACATATATATGTAAAAGAAAAGAATTTTATACATATATAAAACTTAGTTTGAAAATACTGTGTGGCACCATCCATATATGAGAACTTATATCTTTCAGCTTATTCTACTTATAGCCTTATATTTTAATTTTTTAATGATTTAACAAGCAATTATTTTTTTATTGAAGTATAGTCATCGACATACAATGTTACATTAGTTTTAGGTATACAGTATTGTGATTTGACAGCTCTGCAGTTGATGCTGTGCTCATTAAGTGTAGCTGCCCTCTATCACCTTCATTTTCATTCAAATGATATTCTCTATATGGACATACAATATTTTATGTATTCATTAGTTGATGGACATTTAGGTTGTTTCCACATTTTGTCTATTATGAATAAATGATACTGCTATGAACATTGAGGTACAAGTTTTTGTCTGGATATATGCTTCCATTTTGGGGAGGTATGTACCTAGGAGTAGAATTGCTGGGTCATATGGTACCTGTTTAACCTTTTGAAGAACTATCAGACAGTTTTTTCAAAGCAGCTGCACCATTTTATATTCCTTCCAGCAAAGTATAAGGGTTTTAGTTTCTGTACATTTTTACCAACAATTGTTATTCTTTTTGATTAAATCCCTTATAGTTGTATGAAGCAGTATCTTATGATTTTGATTTGCATTTCTCTGATGGCTGATGATATTGAACATCTTTTTATGTGCTATCTATAAAATGGGGTTAATAGTTAATATATCCTGGATTGCCATGGGGATTAAGAGTTAATGGATACAAAAGTGCTTAGCATGGTGCCTGACTCATAGTGCTTTTGAAAAAGTTTTCTTTCTTTGTAAAAGAAAGAGAGAGAGAGAGAAAGAAAGAGAAAGAAAAGGAAGGAAGGAAGGAAGGAAGAAAAGAAAGAAAGAGTCTCCCAGATTTAGGGATGTCTTCTTTTCTGGTCTAGACCATATTTTGATTCTTGTAATTAGTGGCAGTATCAAGGTACCATGACAAAGAAACTGGTCAAAGTTTCTCAAACTCCACTTTGTTTCTTGTCATACAAGATGTAGGTATTTTTACTGTTTGAGCCTTTGTGTGAAGGTAGGAATCTTTTCAGTGGTTCAGACACTTTGGGGGCCCTGAGCTGAATGTGCCTAGTTATTGACTAAAGGGACACAATGGAGGGGGTACCTAGCTTCTAGATGGACTCCTGTAGGGAATTTTCAGGCCGTGAAGTCCAGAAAATTACAGGCATGTTTCTGAACAGAGATCTCAGAGAAGTCTGAAGGGTAGAATTAGGTGCAGGGATACATGTGATGAATGTTACTTAACTTTCTGCCTACACTGAAGTCCTTTTAGATCTCTACTATGGTGGAATCTCATTCCTCCTTTTTCTTTATTTAGGAAAGAAAGATGCTATATGCAGTTTTTGCATTATTGTATTCATCCTCCTTTAGTGCCTACAATGAAAAGGTCCAGTGATGAAGGATCTAACCAGATTTTTTTTTTTTTTGAGTGAGTGTGTGCATGCACACAAGGGGAGGGGGGGGATGGGGGGGAAAGTGAATCTTAAGCAGGCTCCACATCCAGCGTGGAGCCCAGTGCAGGGCTTGATCTCACAATCCTGAGATCATGACCTGAACCAGAATCAAGTTGGATGCTTAACTGACTGAGCCACCCAGGTGCCCCAGCTACAACTCAATTATAATTTTTTCTACTAAGGAGGAAATACTGTTATTTGGGAACTGCCAAGAAGTCCAGGCCCTAGTATCTCTTTTAACAGCAGCCTGTAGTATTATCCCAGAATATAAAAATGAGCAGATGGAACAAAACTTGAGGACAGACATTGTTTCTTTTTTAGTTTTTATATTTCAAGCATCTAATAGAGAAGGTGTCCAGCAAATGCGGTATTTCAGTTTTCTCTTGGTGAATAAATCTAAGAGTGATATTTATCATCTCTAGTTTTAAAGGCAAATATATTTTTAAAGGTTTTATGTATTTATTCATGAGAAACAGAGAGAGGCAGAGACATAGGCAGAGGAAGAAGCAGGTTCTCTGTGGGGAGCCTGATGCGGGACTCAGTTCCAGGACCCAGGGATCATGCCCTGAGCCGAAGGCAGATGCTCAACCACTGAGCCACCCAGGCATCCCTAAAGGAAAATATTTTATTTATATTTATATTTTATTTATTTATTGATTTTCCTCCTAGGGTGTCCTGACTGTGCAAACTTTGTACCTACCAAATGTAATGGTTCTATAACAGACAACAGTCCTCTCTTTGGACTTGACTGTGAAATGGTAAGTACTACTTTTGATGTTTCAGCTGGAGGGTTAATAGTAGATGATTTCTTGAGTCTAATGCATCAGTGAACCAGTGCATTTAGTTCCAATATTTTGGTTTAAAGAACTGAAAGTATACCCTTTTACTCACATTTTAGAAAACTTAGATATATACTCCAGGATGAAGAGTAAATATCACAACTTTTTTAACTAGTTGTTATATTTAACCAAATCTCTGTCAATTAGTATAAGTTTACCCCTTCTGTCTTTTGAACAGGTGTTTTGTTATTGTACCCCTAAAGACTCTAACTCAATGACCATTGGTTTGGCTTAGTTTTACACATTTAAGATCAGAAGAATTTCCCTCAAGCTCCCTGTGGGTTTTACTTTGTCTAATCCTTTCAAAGACAGGGCATCCCCTATCAGTACTCAGGTACCAGTCCCTCATTTCTTAATAGAGTGGCTAAGAGCTAAAGTTTTAGAGTCACATATCAGGATATGTATCCTGGCCTTGCCTGTTAATGGCTTTGTCACCTTGGACAAATTCCCTAACCTTACTCTTTGAAGTGGGGATAATAACAGAGGTACCTCATCACATTACTGAATTAGTATATGTAGAATGCTTAGTATTGCATTAGATAATAGAGTGAGTGCACTAATAACAAAATTAGTTTCTAGTAGTACTTAGCTAATAGTGCGATGTCGTATACACACTAATAAGTGGTAAAATAATGGTTGATATCATTTCCATCTATCTTCTTGTGCACATCCTTTTCAGAGCAATTAGATGAAATGTTCAGCAGTCTTCCAGCTTTAATTTCATTCATACTGGACTCTAGTTAGCAAAGGCCATTGTGTTACTGGGCCCCCAGTAGGTTACAGTCAATGGCAGTTGAGGTGTGAATAATGGGAGGAAGCAGTCTTCCTCAGTTTAGCAGTCTGACGATGGCCTGGTCTTTCAGTGTGTCACATCCAAGGGGAGAGAGCTAACGCGCATCTCACTGGTTGCTGAAGGAGGCAGCTGTGTTATGGATGAACTCGTTAAACCTGACAACAAGATTCTGGATTACCTTACCAGGTATTTTGCAACTTGCCTTCTGCCCTCCCTAGCACTAGTAGACTAGAATGGGATGTGTCAACAGGAATAGTTCGTAGTTTCTGTGTAGTTAAGTATTATCTCTTTCTATATTATCAAAGACAAGGCTGGGGAGCACAACTAAATTCTAAAACTGAAATTGCACAATGTCAGTATATAAAGCTCTTTAACCCTTCTTTTTCTCTAGTCTTCCTATGACCTTAAGTAAGCAGAATATTATCTTCCTTGTTTATTTATTTTTTTAAGATTTTATTTATTCATGAGAGACACAGAAAAAGGCAGAGATATAGGTAGAGGCAGGGTCCCTGCAAGGAACCCAATGCAGGACTCGATCCTGGGATCCCAGGATCCCAGGATCACGCACTGAGCCAAAGGCAGATGCTCAACCACTGAGCTACCCAGGCATCCCTATCTTCCTTGATTAGAGTCTGCCAGTTGTAATTATTATGTAGCAACTGCCAGAGACCTGGAGCTTTGCTCTCTGAGAAGACCACATTTGAAAAATCTGCAAATCATCATTTGGCAGTCAAATAATTTAGAGGTTAAGCTGCCTTGACTTCAAAAACCAAACAAAACAAAGTTTTTCCATAATAGAAATTTGAAGCTCAAAAATTTTAGTCTGTCTTTTTAAAGATTATCATGTAATTTCAGAATGTACATATTATAGTGATTAGGCAAAGAAAACCTGGTATAACACTACTCTTGAAGTTGTATCTATAGATTCAAGCTTACTTATGCACAGAGAGGCCATGATAGTGATAAACATTGTCCTATTAGCAGGCATAATTAGTATTCTTAGGGAACAGTCATTTGTGGGAAAGATGTATGTATAAACATGTTTATCACAATATTTCAAAAAACATGGGATTACAAAGATACAGATGCAGTGAAACGCCGGGACACCTACACCCCGATGTTTATAGCAGCAATGTCCACAATAGCCAAACTGTGGAAGGAGCCTCGGTGTCCATCGAAAGACGAATGGATAAAGAAGATGTGGTATAAAAAAAAAAAGAAGATGTGGTATATGTATACAGTGGAATATTACTCAGCCATTAGAAATGACAAATACCCACCATTTGCTTCGATGTGGATGGAACTGGAGGGTATTATGCTGAATGAAATAAGTCAATCAGAGAAGGACAAACATTATATGGTCTCATTCATTTGGGGAATACAAAAAATAGTGAAAGGGAATAAAGGGGAAAGGAGAGAAAATGAGTGGGAAATATCAGAGAGGGAGACAGAACATGAGAGACTCCTAACTCTGGGGAACGAACAAGGGGTGGTAGAAAGGGAGGTGGGCGGGGGGTGGGGGTGACTGGGTGACAGGCACTGGGTGGGGGGCACTTGATGGGATGAGCACTGGGTGTTACGCTATATGTTGGCAAATTGAACTCCAATAAATAATAGAAAAAAAAACATAGGAGTATAAACAGCTGAAAGTAGAGGATTGGTTAAAATATATGAAATCCATATAACAAAATACTCTAGCCATTTAAATGGATGTGTTGAAGTAGAGTTACGATGTGAAAGCTTGTTAATGATGTATGGCAAATGATAAAATCATATTATAAAGTAACATGCATTATGACTATTTTTATAAAAATAAAATATGTATTTGGGAGCACCTGGGTGGCTCATTCGGGTAAGTGTCCGACTCGATTTCGGCTCAGGTTCTGATCTCAGGTTCCTGGGATTGATTGAGCCTTGAATCAGGTGCCATGCTCAGCCGGGAGTCTGTTTGAGGATTTTTTCTCTCTCTTTCTCTCTTGCTCTCTCTTTCTAAAATAAATCTTTAAATATATATACATACATATACATGATATATGTATCAAAAAAATATGAGAGGCTATTTACTAAAATGTAAAAAGTAATCTCTGGGTTGTGGGATTTGGGGTTATTTTAAATTTCCTCTTTGCAGGGCAGCCCAAGTGGCTCAGGACCTGATCTTGGAGACCCAGGATCCAGTCCCACATCTGGCTCCCTGCATGGAGCCTGCTTCTCGCTCTGCCTGTATCTCTGCCCCTCTCTCTCTCCCTGTGTGTCTCTCATGAATAAATAAAACCTTAAAAAAAATTTTCCTATTTGCTGATCTGTATTTTCAACCTTTTTATAATGAGCATATATTAATTTTTAAAAATATTCTTTGTGGGGATCCCTGGGTGGCTCAGCAGTTTAGTGCCTGCCTTTGGCCCGGGGCGCGATCCTAGAGTCCTGGGATCAAGTTCCACTTCGGGCTTCCTGCATGGAGCCTGCTTCTCCCTCCTCCTGTGTCTCTGCCTCTCTCTCTCTCTCTCTCTCTCATAAATAAACAAATAAATCTTTAAAAAAAATAAAATAAAAATATTCTTTGTGAAATGACTTTTCAGGGAGGTAAACCTATTAATAACATCCTTGCCTGTCCATTTCTCTTTTTTTATGAAAGCTTTTCAGGAATCACAAAGAAGATTCTTAACCCAGTGACAACCAGACTCAAAGATGTACAGAGACAGTTAAAATCACTGCTTCCTCCTGACGCTGTGTTAGTGGGCCATTCCTTAGACTTGGATCTCAGAGCACTGAAAGTGAGTATCTGACTTAGTGTTTTCAGAATATATGCCTTTTCCATTTATTTCAAATCTAAAGTCTTGGGTTCTTCTGTTCCCCCAACCCACTTGTTTTTTCCTTTAGCATAGAATGCTACTTATTCTATTCTCTTTCCTCCTCAGATGATACATCCGTATGTTATTGATACATCATTGCTTTATGTCAGAGAGCAGGGCAGAAGATTTAAGCTAAAGTTCTTAGCCAAAGCTATTTTGGGGTAGGTTGTTTGCATATTACAATACTGTCCTGACAAGTTGCATATAAGTTAGCATATATTATTTAATGCATTTTGCAAAATTCATTGTCTCTGCTCTCCTTAGTCTGTAAATATTATTCCTTTCATTTCTTACAAATCCTGGGATCCTAATTCCAGAGAAGTATGACTCAGAAATGAAATTATGGAAATACAAAGAGGGGTTTACATTCACAACTGAGAGTTGATGGATAGAACTAGACAGGGAGGGACAGAAGAGTTAACCAGAATTTGAAAACAATAATCCTGTAGAATGTATCCTATTATGTACAAACACATGCACAAAAATGTTCATTATAATATGGTTTTAAAACAGCCCCAAACTGCAAATATTTTACATAATACTTTTTTATTAAAAGAATGTGATGGATCTGTATGTGCTAATATGGAAACTCTTAAGGTACTACTGAGAATAAAATGGAGATGCAGAACAAGATCTGTATATACCTAGATATCCATATGACATAGATTACATTTAGATAAATTTATAGACACAAACATATGTACTTTTTTAAGGTTTTTGAAAATGGCCAAGAAAAGAGTTAAGTACCTATAGATACTTGCATGCAAATATAAAATTTCTGTAACTTTAAATAGTAGCTACATGTAAAAGAATGAGGCAAGGGTTTGGCTGGGGAGTGACCAGAGACTTTATTGGGTAGCTTTTTGTCCAGATGATATGCTTGCTGTAGACAAAACCATTTCTAATCATTGTATATTGTCAGTGCCTCTCACTCCAGGTACTCTCATGGCTTTTAGGAGTAAGGAATCTTGATTGTTGTGATAAAATCTGATCAGATTGCTGAAATTTTACATGTGACCAGAATATTTGAAGTGGTTGAAAGAACCTATCATTGAAAATACTGTTGAGTGTGTCAGTTTTATCTTGACCTTCCAGGAAGGATATACAGTGTCCAAATAGACTTGGTCATGATGCCACAGAAGATGCTAGAACAACCCTTGAATTGGCTCGGTATTTCCTTAAGTATGGCCCAAGGAAGGTTAGTATCTTGACCTGTATGTTTGCATTTCTTAAAATTATGGAACTAGAACGGATAGTCACAGACCACCATTTCCTATTCTTACCTTTCCTTATAAAATAGGAAGTGTAATTCAAGCTGAGCATTCGGAATTAAGACCTGTATGAGTAGCATAATGTAGCAAAGTATGTAGTCTCTGAAATTGGACTTCCTGTTTTTAAATAAAGATGGTACAGGTGCACCTGGCTTATTCAATCAGTGGAGCATGTGACTTGATCTCGGGGTTATAAGTTTGAACCCCACGTTGGGTGTAGAGGTTACTTTAAAATCTTAAAGTAAGAAGAAAGATAGTACTATGTTTAACTATATGATCTGGGTCAATTTCTCTGAAGAATTTCAGTTTCTACATCTGTAAAATGGAAACATATTTCTCTGGGATATTGGTGAGGGTAAATGAGATATCTTATATAAAGCTGTTAGTACAGTGCCTTGAATGTATTAAGCACTATAATATATGGCTAATTGTGTGCTGATAATTGTAATAATTTTTAATAATCCACATAAATTTTTGCTCTTTTAGGATGGGAGGCGCATACCATTGTTTCAACAGCAGTTCAATGGGTGTAGATTAGAACAGCACATAAGGGAGACCTTCTTGAAGGAAACAGTTTCTTACAGACCTTATTACAATGCATTCCGATTAGATTGTCCCATTGCATGATATGTTCTATCATTACTCCACTATGAAATAAATTTTATATGCAGAATCATAAATATCCAAAATAGAATTTTGTGTCACAATAGTAGAAAGACATTCTAAAATGTCTTACTGTACATATAAATAGTAGTTTGTGGCTCACTCTACACTGCAACTCCCAAGTGGTCTCCCACTTTATGGAAGAAGAATAAATTAGTTTTTTATAAGTCAATGAACAGGTTTTTTGTTTTTTTTGTTTTTTGATGTTGCTATAAAAGCCATTACTTTATAATTTCCAAAAGTTGATGTTCACAGAGAAGTAAATTTTAAGTGATTAAGTGGGAGATCAGTGATGAGCCAAAATTGCCATCCCCTTATACTTAGCCCTACTTTGCCCTTTCCCATATTCATGTAACAAGGTCAACAGTTGGTAACATATGCCATTCTTAGCTAAATGGCCAGAAACCATCTGGTAGCTGTTGAAGCCTGCCTGGGACTGTGGCACTGGCAGAGCCACTATCTGTGGAAGTAGAGAACACCACTCAAGTGGGTTTTTCTTGGATTTTTTTGCTGTTTGTTTTATTATTTTTTTTAAATTTTATTTTAAAAGATTTTATTTATTTTTTCATGAGAGACACAGAGAGAGAGGCAGAGACATAGGCAGAGGGAGATGCAGGCTCCTCATAGGAAGCCTGATAAGGGACTTGATCCTGGGACTCCAGGATTATGCCTTGAGCTGAAGGCAGACGCTCAACCGCTGAGCCACCCAGGCATCCCTGTTTTGTTTGTTTTAAACCTCAGATGCTTTGCAGGAAATGAGATGATTTTTACCACTTGATTTTCTTAAGATTGCAGAACTAAATCTGGAGGCACTAGCTAGTCACCAAGTATTGCTAGCAACAGGCCAAGAGCTAAGAAATACAGCAGAAGTAGTTCAGCAGCCAAACACAAGGTAATATTTTTATTTCTAAATAAGAACAAAAACAAATAAGAGTATTTAGTTTCTTATTTACAAAACCTGGGAATTCTTTTTTTCCTTTTTTGAGTCTATTGAGAAATGTTTACCAATAGTATGAGTAACATTCTATCACAAAAACCATGGAGAGAAAAATAGCACCTTCCACTCTAAATCGTATGTATTTATTTTTCTTATTTTCTAAATCTAGTAACTGGTCTAAACTCTTTTACCAAAAAGGAGGACATTGAAATACAGTGAACCTAAGTAGCATTAGGGGAGATGATAAACTAGTAGATGTTTTGATTAGACAAGTCACCTTTGATGCATTGCCCAGATTAGGGAAAAACAAAAAACAGTCTTGGAAGGAATTCATCTACACACCATAATAAATGTGTCAGATCCTTAGAATATAAATTTGTTAGAGAGCTTTGAGTATTTTTCATGTTTATCCTTACTTCCCCTAAATATAAAACAGTACTATCCAATATGACTTCTCCAGTGATGGAATTGTTTTAGATCTGTGTTTTCCAGTAAGGTCCACACAGCACAGGAGGATGTGTGACTAATGTGTATTGAGAAACTGAACCATAATTTAATATTAATTTTAATTTAAATGGACACATGTTGTTAGTGGCTACCTTATTTAGACAGTGCAAGTATAGAGAAGTAACTCTTAGGTTAGGAAAAACTATTGTTCTTACCTTGATCTCTTCTACTTTTTTTTTGCAGTGTTTTAGAATGCTTGGACTTAATGGGTCAGAAGCTCCTTTTCTTGACCCGGGAACCAGAAACTAGTGAACTTTCTTCTGCTAGAAACTGTGAAACTGTTAAGTGCCTTTCAAATAAAGAGGTGAGTAACTTGTCTGTTTGAACGTTGTGCTCAAAACGGGAATGTATCCCTTGCAATTCACACTAAGTGTCAAGCTTTTTTTACATCAATAATCCTGGCTACCATTATCAATTCTGGTTTTTGTCTCTCATCTTATATGGAGCACTTTTAGTCCCAGTTATTTCACAGGAGCAGAACTGTCAGCTGCCAGTGTCTGCTTGCAGAGCCTACCTTTGGCATTGCACACCACTTTGGATTTCTGTTCATTATCTGGCATAGTGAGATATTTATCTTGGTTTATAATATGATTGTATTTTTTTAGTTTTCTTAAATTTTACATATTATTCCTGTATGCATAAAGTTGAAGGGATGTATTGCAGCATGCATTTATTAGGTCATCTTGTTCAGAAGATCTCTCTATATATTTTTTTTTATCTGGAAAGGATTTCAGACTTATAGAAGACTTGCATGAATGGTGACATAAACCTTCTATCCAGATTGTTCATCTGTTAATGCTCTGCCACATTTGTTTGTGTATATTCTGGCATGTTTATGCTCTCTTGCTATTTCTTTCTATATTCCTGTTTCTATATGACCTTTTATTTTCAAAACCATTTGATGATCAGCTTCTTATATCATGGCTCTTTTCCCCTGATACCTCAATATATATCTCCTGAGAATAGAAATATTCTCTTACATAACCATAATAAACTTCAGTAAAGTTAATATTGATACAGTATCTTTTTCAAATTTCATCTGTATTCCAGTTTTCTTAGTTGATCCAATAATGTCCTATAGCATTTCTTTTTCCTTCAGAACAGTATCTAAACTAGGATCAAATACTGCATTTGGTTGTCCTATCTTTTTAGTTTCCTTTAATCTGGATACATCCCTCGACCTTTCTTTGTGTTTCATGACAATGGTAGTTCTTAAGTAATACATGTTACATGTTACCCTGAACAGAATGTTCCTCATGGATTCATTTCCCCATGATTAGACACAGGTTATGCATTGTTTACCAAACTAGTTATAAGTCATGTTTCCTTTTCAGGGTATCACACTCAGAGGCACATGTCCATGTGTCCTTTATTTTGTGCTGTTTATTTTGATAACCTTCATAAGATGTTGTCTGCCTTCTCCACTGTAGCTTTACTACTTTTGTCCCTTCTAATAAGTAATATGAAGAGATAATTTAAGAAAAGCAGATATCCAGCTTTTTATCAGAACTTCCCCTCATATTTAGCAAAAACTGTTGATTCCTACCTGACGGTTGCACAATGATGATTTCTAGCTCTAGCACTTCCTTCATATTTATTAGTTGTTAGTCAGCAATCTGTAAGCAAAAGTCCTTCCTTTAGCTTTGTATTCATTCATTCATTCATTCATTCAGTGTGGACTCATAGATTTCTGTTTATTTCAGTGGTTTATAATTTATGACTGTACTAAATTGTTTTAGTTTTCAAACTTCCCAAATTTGGCTAGTGGTAGCCCCTTCAGGTTGTCACCTTTGTCCTTGTGACATGCACCCATAATTTTTTGGAATATTTTTTTTCTTTTCGGCACAAGATAATTCAGTTACATCTTGATATTGGAAACCAAGATCTGGGCACTGGGTATGCATATTGCTACTAGGGTGTCTTTGCTTCTAGACCAGTAAAGCAGACAGAGGAAATATATGCATGTTGATATATACATACATGCACACGCAGTACAGAGATATACATATTTTAGAAATCATGTGTTTATATGAATACCTTTGATTTCAGCCTTTTCATACAAGATTCTTCCTTGCTTTTCTTCATTCTTTATTTGTAACGCTCTATATCTAGTGTGGGAACGAACATTGGCTCCCAACAACATCAACAATTAACTCATTCGCTCAAACCTGAACTATATCCAAAATCGTTTTAGATTTGATGCACCCAAATCACTATAGAATGAGTTAAGTATTGGTTTGCAGTTCACTCTCCTCCCTATCCCCACCCTGTCTATAACTGAGTATTGGGTATGTGAATGTTTCATTTATAATTTGTATTGGTTTTTTTCTCCCCTTCAGATTAGCCATGTTTTGTATTGAATATATAGTTGGGTTCATTTGTTTCATTGTGCTTTCGGTTTTAGGGTTTTCTTCCCCCCTGGAATCTTTGTTGATTTATTTTTGGGACCTGTAGAACCTTAATGTGTTTCTGAATTACCAAAACCCTGTAAACTCTGTACTCAGATAAATGCGGTTCTCTCGCCTATTATCCCTTTTACTCAATCCTTTTCACTACCTGATTTATTCTTTGTTCTTCTTGGTTAAAAAAAAAAAAAAAAAAGGCAGATATAGGGCACCTGGGAGGCTCACTGGTTGAGCATCTGCCTGTGGTTTGAGTCCTGATTGGTCCTGGGATTGACTCCCACATCAGGCTTCTCCTGGAGAGCCTGCTTCTTCCTCTATGTCTCTGCCTCTCTCTGTGTGTTTCTCATGAATAAATAAATAAAATCTTAAAAAAAAAAAAAAGCAGATGCATATATGCTTTCTTATTTCTTTCTTTATTACACAGAAATTAACATATTAGATAAGCTCTTTTGCAGTGGCTTTTTTCCCATAATAATGTATCTGGGAAATAATATCAGTTTACTAAGGATTGTCTTAATTTTTTTATTATTAGCTGCATAGTACTCCAGTGTGCTTATATAGTATAGTTGTATTCCTTCTTTTCCTTTTTTTTTTAAATTTTTTTTATTGGAGTTCAATTTGCCAACATACAGCATAACACCCAGTGCTCATCCTGCCAAGTGTCCCCCCTCATTGCCCATCACCAAGTCACTCCAACCCCCTGCCCACTTCCCCTTATACTACCCCTTGTTCATTTCCCAGAGTTAGGTGTCTCTCATGTTTTATCACCCTCACTGATACTTTAACTCATTTTCTCTCCTTTCCCTTTATTCCCTTTCACTAATTTTTATATTCCCCAAATGAATGAGATCATATAATGTTTGTCCTTTTCTAATTGACTTATTTCACTCAGTATAATACCCTCCAGTTCCATCCACGTCGAAGGAAATAGTGGGTATTTGTCGTTTCTAATGGCTGAGTAATATTCCATTGTATACATAGACCACATCTTCTTTATCCATTCATCTTTCGATGGACACCGAGGCTCCTTCCACAGTTTGACTATTGTGGACATTGTTGCTGTAAACATTGGGGTGCAGGTGTCCCGGCGTTTCACTGCATCTGTATCTTTGGGATGAATCCCCAGCAGTGCAATTGCTGGGTCGTAGGGCAGATCTATTTTTAACTCTTTAAGGAACCTCCACACAGTTTTCTAGAGTGGCTGTACCAGTTCACATTCCCACCAACAGTGCAACAGGGTTCCCCCTTCTCCACATCCTCTGCAACATTTGTGGTTTCCTGCCTTGTTAATTTTCCCCATACTCACTGGTGTGAGGTGGTATCTGATTGTGGTTTTGATTTGTATTTCCCTGATGGCAAGTGATGCGGAGCATTTTCTCATGTGCTTGTTGGCCATGTCTGTGTCTTCCTCTGTGAAATTTCTGTTCAAGTCTTTTGTCCATTTCATGATTGGATTGTTTGTTCCTTTGCTGTTGAGTTTAATAAGTTCTTTATAGATCTTGCATACTAGCCCTTTATCTGATAGGTCATTTGAAAATATCTTCTCCCATTCTGTAGGTTGTCTCTTAGTTTTGTTGACTGTTTCTTTTGCTGTGCAGAAGCCTTTTATCTTGATGAAGTCCCAGTAATTCATTTTTGCTTTTGTTTCTCTTGCCTTCATGGATGTATCTTGCAAGAAGTTGCTGTGGCCGAGTTCAAAAAGGGTGTTGCCTGTGTTCTCCAGGATTTTGATGGAATCTTGTCTCATATTTAGATCTTTCATCCATTTTGAGTTTATCTTTGTGTATGGTGAAAGAGAGTGGTCTAGTTTCATTCTTCTGCATGTGGATGTCCAAGTTTCCCAGCACCATTTATTGAAGAGACTGTCTTTTTTCCAGTGGATGCTTTGGCTAATGCATCCAGAACACTGTTAGCTGAGGTCATTCTTTTTTACTACAGGTTTAGAGCTATAAATTACTCTCTAAATACTACTTTAGCTGCATCTTAGAAATATTGATGTTTCAATAAATACTGAAAAGTGTTTTCATTCAGTTCAGGATTCTTTTTAATTTTCCTTTTGATTTCTTTTTTGGCTCCTAGTTTTTAAGAAGTATGCTATTTGTTTTCCAAAAAGTTAGGGATTTTCCTGAAATCTATTCCTATTTCTTAAGTTCTCTATCATCCAAAGAATGTACTTTGAATTACCTGAATCCTTTTAAATTTATTGAGAGGTGGAATTTCCCATTATAATTGTAGATTTGTCTATTTCTTTGTGGAGTTTCATTAATTTTTGCTTTTTCTTTTTTAAAAGATTTTATTTATTTATTCATGAGAGACATACAGAGAGAGGCAGAGACACAGGCAGAGGGAGAAGCAGGCTCCATGCAGGGAGCCCGACGTGAGACTCGATCCCGGGACTCCAGGATCAGGCCCTGGGCTGAAGGTGGCGCTAAACTGCTGAGCCACCTGGGCCGCATGATTTTTGCTTTATGTTTAATGCAGCTTTCCTATTAGATACATAAACATTATGCATTATGTCTTCCCAATGAATTGGCCCCTTTGTCATTAAAAATAGGGCCTTCTTTATCCCTGGAAGCTTTCTTTTTTTTAAAAAGATTTTATTTATTCATGAGAGACAGACATAAACAGAGGGAGAAGCAGGCTTCCTGCAAGGAGCCCGATGCATAACTCGATCCCTAGACCCAGGGGTACCCCCTGAGCCAAAGGCAGATACTGAACTGCTAAACCACCCAGGTATCCCCACCTGAAACATTTTCTGTTCTTTTACTTTGTCTGATACTGATATAGCCCCTCCTGCTTCCTTTTGTTTATTGTTGACAATGGTATATATTTTTAATTTACATTTAGTCTATTTATATCTTTATATTTAAAGTGGGTTTCTTGTGACCAGTTAGGCTTT